TGAATACTACTCTTTAAAGTCCTGATGAAGAAGGGCAAGAATTCTCCTACTCTCACGAGTAATGGGGGAAGAGGTTAGGCTGTTTACTCTGAGATGTCACTCTGTAGTCCAAAGGTTTCGTTGGCGACACAAGACACAATACAACCTCGGTGTCATTCATCCCTCGTTCAGCTTCTTGAAGACTACTCTTTTCAGCCCTGACGATGAAGGACAAGAGTTTTCTTTCTTTTATGAATTATAGATAATGAGGGGTTGGGTTGTTCACTCTGAGATGTTACTCTGTAGTCCAAAGGTTTCGTTAGTGACACCATATAACCTAGGTGTCATTCATCCCATCTTCAGCTTCTTGAAGACTACTCTTTGAAGTCCTGATGGAGGAGGAAAAGAATTTTCCTTCTCTTACGAGTAATGGGAGATGGGGTTGAGCTGTTCACTGAGATGTCTGAGATATAACCTTGGTTTCATTCATGCCTAGTCACGGGTTCCCACAACTTGGATTAGGTTACAAAAGCTTCTGTTTATCAATCTGCGGCCACATAAGCAGATGACCACAGATTGCCCCATCTTTGCATACAGATATCCACAAAACTGTCTATCTGAGTGATCAGAACAGAAATGTTTTGGAAGAGAAAGAAAAAAAGGAGAGTTGGCCTAGGGAGGCCGATGGAAGAGATTGAAAACTGTGAGTGAAAAGACAAGTTGAAGATACATGAGTATCCGGCTAAGGTACCTTATACAGGGTGTAATCTGATTGATGGCTGAAAATGAAGCATATGAACATATGCCCTAAACTAGAGTTCCTAAATGTACTTGACACTGCTGTTTTGACGTTTTTTGTAATATACAAAAAAAAACAGCAGTGTCAAGTACATTTACGAACTCTACCCTCTCAATCTTCGAGCTATAAGGTGTTGAAATTTTAGGAAAAAAATTGTTTACCCAATATAATTTCGATACTGTTTCAGGTATTTCCATGAAATTCGTCATACACCTACTGAGCACTAAAAGGCCTTTTTTGATGAAGATCTTTTAATATATTTATCAGTGGCGTCCGTTTGGGATGTATCCTGTACAAGTCTCTCTTGAAATCCTCATCCATTTTCCAACAATTTAACCTACTGATTTTTTTCCGCCCGACAAACAGTTTTCGAGTACAAATATAAAAAATGTTTTCATGCGGCATTTGTGGCAGTATTCTGAACTAAATAGGCTAGTGTCCTATTTCGTTTTCAAAATAATGACATTTGATCAATTATGTTGCGTTCTCATTTTGACAAGTATTCATAAACGTGACAGTTTTTTACATTGTGAAAGTTTCCTTAAACAAAACAGAGAAAATACAATTTTAACACCATATAGTTAGTTCTAAAGTTAAGAGGTTTATGGCATATGTTTATATAATCTTTTCTTCTCAGAATGAGCTGAGGAACCATATCCTATATTGTCAAAATACACAGATAAGGAGTATATGAGGCTCAAATCAGCTGATCTTGGACACCACCTTACTGGACCATTTATTTGTTCCAATTCTGATTCTTTACAATGAAAAGTGGAAAAATAATGTCTGTCACTGGAATGGTATTGTTGAAACCAACTATGATACTCTAAAAGTCTAGGAATGGTTACACATTTCATTACAATAGAACTGCTATAAAAGGGATAGTATTTCAGTGAAATTATTGATTAGTAATATTGAGTAATTACAGTAGTGACCTTGTGAATGGTGCTGATTTCTATTTTATTGTTTCCATGAGATCTAGCAGATGTGAAACTAAATGACAATTTTTATGGTTCAGGAAAATTACGAACTATTATGTTCTCTATATTTTTCATATAACAAATGCAAATGTTGCATATTATTGCTGCAAGTTGATCGACGATTTGTAGCTATTTATGTGTTTCTATACGTATAATAATTACATATTGGTAATAATAATGACAATTTCCTTAATGGTAATCGAGAGTTCTGTCAAGCTTGAGTGCATTTGAACATTTCTGGCTTTTTCTCACAATCACTTACAGGGTAATATCATTTAAATGTCCTTTTTATTGTTCAAAATATAAAAGTCGAATATTAGGAATATGTTTTGGATTATCCCTTTTTCATCTAGAACAAATGTAGCTGAGGATGTGAACATTATACAGGGTGATCCTTGAAGCCATGCTAATATTCGAGGAGGTGATTCTTTGACTCATTTTGAGAAGAAAACTTCATATGAACGTATGCCCTAAAAGTCTTAACTTTTGAGATACAGGGTGATGAAGTTTTGAAAAATATTCAGTTTTTCGATAATAACTGAGACAATATTGTATATATCTTAATGAAATTTGGTACTCGTCTTTCATGCATCAAGGTGCATCTTTTCATGTATGGAAATTTTCATTTTCTGTACCAGTGACACCATTAGGGAAATATTATTGTTTGAACTTCACTTAAAAGTGAGCATCGACAAGAAATTTCAAAATTTTATACAATGTCATAAGAGGCCATTTGATTTGTTGATACTCGATAGAACGCTTCGTTTTCAAGAAAAAACGGAAAAACGAGACAGACTTCAAATTTTGATGTCTACTACTGGATAACCACATTATGTAACATTTTGAGATTTGTATACCGATTCAGTCACATAGCAGACTAAAGTTTGCCATCACGAAAAGCTATACAGGGTGGACAAAAAATAATCTATGCATATTTTCAACATTGACACCCTGTATCTAAAAAGTAAGGACGTTTACGACTACGTTCATATGAAGTTTTATTCTCGAAATGCGTCGAAGAATCGGCCTCTTGAATATTAGCATATCATTAAGAATCACCCTGTATATCCAATCACTCCGAAGTACAGGGTGATACATACATTTCCAATTTCCCAATAATTTTTTTTTGGCTCACCAAACAATTTTCATAGTCTTCAGAATGAACAAATGAAGGTATTTATCTTATGAGAAATGTGGAATTCTGATTGATTCACAAGTTTTGAGAGAAAAAGTACTTATATCATGAAATTAATTAGGATATATCTGAATATTCTCAGAATTTCATGAACGATTCCTGGTATATGCACAATTTATCCACCCAAACTTTAACGAGGATGAAAAAAAGTACATGAAAAATTACTAACTAACAGATTTTATTGTAGTACATTGTAATACATAACATTCATAAAACAGTGTTCGCTTGGCCAGCAAAGAATCATAATGGAATGAAAAGGAATTTGTTTGTTATATTCCAGGGAATGTGTAGGCATTTTCAATTATGGATTTCTCTATGTATATGATTTCGACCTAATTATATGTAGCTATTTACAAGTCGATATAGATGTTATCCAAGGAATCCAATCTTTGAGTTAATGATGATCTCCACTTCATATTATGTCTTCATAATTCTATTGTTCAACATGATACATCATCAACTTGATTATTCATATCAGTTTTGAACCGAATATAGCGGGTGATTTCCCAATGTGGCTCACCCCTGTAACTTTTTTATTATATACAGCGTGTCTCATTTCAAACGGCCCCCCTCTATATCTCAGCTATCAGTCGTGCGATCTTTACCAAATTTGCATCGGTATGGATAATCATCAATATGACCAGTTCTTCAAAGACAAACATCATTTTAGACAGTGCCGTGCATTTTTATTGAAATGAATAGGGGTCAAATTTTTATTGAATCATATTAGGCATTTTTTCACAGGAAATCTGACCTCATAATATTGTTCTTCATGGTTTCAAACCCACATATGTGAATTTTCATTAGATGCCTATGAAGGGTTTCAGAAAAACAAACACATCTAAACAGCATTTTTGCGAGCGTAATGATTATTTACTCGGAAACGGTGAGTTCAACATAAAAAAGTATAACAAGTTTTTCCTTCCCAATCATGATTTTCCACCTACCGGAGCCATTGAACGTTCCATCAATATACAAAAGTACCGAACTTTAAGTTTTCTTTCATGGTAATTGCTCTAAAATATTTCTGTTTGCGTATGGGCGTTCATTTGCTTTTTCAAAATCTCTTTTCAAAGACCCTTCAACAGATCGCCTTCGATGAGATCGAAAAGCATGGGAGCAATGGAGCCGTTTTTGTCAACGGTGTTTTTAATGGCGTCCCAGAGAAAAAAATCAAGTGGCGGTGTTAGATGAAGCAAATGAATGCATAAACGCAAACGGAAATATTTTTCAGCATTTACTATGTAAGAAAATGTAAAGTTCTGATTTTGTTTCCATATTGGATATTATTTGTTTGATTGAGTTGTGTATTCATCATTCATCAATATCATTTCATCATTTAATTAACAATTGTTCAAGTTTAACTTTTGGTTTGGTATAAATAATAATATATTCTGAATGAGAACAATGTGTTAGACAAAGACAAATCAATACCAAGAACGCTGTGTTAGACAAAGATGAGTATCTCCATAACTTTTTTGAAGACATTTTTCACTGAACTAAATATTTTATGCATTGTTTTGGTACACAATCATATCAAGAAGGTCGAAAACTATCGAAAAATGCAATAAAAATCCAAGTCCGTTCAAAAAAAATTAAATTGATGATTGCAGTTCGAAGAAGAAACATCGTATTTCCAATCTGACACTTCCATTTTGTGGAGGAGGCAAAGTGGCAATGATAAAGTGACATTGATTTTAAAATATCTCTTCAAATAAACTGTGTAATGAATGAAAACGATTTTGCATAATTTCCTTTTTTTTATGTCTCCAGAAATAATCGAAATTTCTACAATTTCAAAGCAGCATTTTGTTACCGGAAGTACAGCATAGCGAGGAAATATGTGGAAAAATGTTATCAAAATACAATACACGAAACCGAAATTTCATTTTTTTATCTTCAATAATGAAAAAGTTATAGGGATGAGCCACCCTAGAGAATCACCCGGCATGCCCATATCCCATATCCCATATTTGGAATCTGGTAAAATGAATAAAAAAAAGGGGAAAATAGATTCCATTTTTGAATGGAAATCTCCGTTGTTGAACCCAATCGATTCAATACTATTAGATACATTAACAATATTTAGATTGAACTACCCTGTATGCTTCCATTTGGCTTCTTCTTTCCATTCTTGTACTGTTTCTTCCCAATCCATGGTATGTTCCTTCTTTTTCTTCCACTTCAATTCATCCTTTTTCTTCCACTTGGATTCATCCTCTTCCTCCCACTTAGATTCATAATCTTTCTTCCACTTAGATTCATCATCTTCCTTCCACTTAGATTCATCCTTTCTCTTCCACTTGGATTCATTCTCTTCCTCCCACTTAGATTCATACTCTTCCTTCCACTTAGATTCATCATCTTCCTTCCACTTAGATTCATCCTTTTCCGTCCACTTAGATTCATCCTTTTCCTTCTTCACTGGTTCTGCCACCCACTCCTTCTCATAAACCGGTACTTTCTTAATAACAATATACGGAACATGCTTAACCACCTCAACCGGTACCGGTCGGTCAACCTTAACCTCCACTGGGTATGGTACTTCCTTCTCCACTAGTACCTTCACGATTTTCTCCACCGGATATGGCGCTGGCACTGGTACCTTCACAGGATACGGGACTTCCTTCTCGACCTTGACCGGTACCGGTCTATCCACGTAAACCTTGACAGGGTACGGCCTCTCCACTGGTACCGCCACCGGGATTTTCTTGATAACTTCAACAGGATAAGGCTTGATTACGTGGACTGGGTACCGCCTTTCCACGTATACTTTCACGGGATAAGGTACTATCTTGTGGACTGGGTAGGGTTTAGGGACGTGTACCGGTACTTTGACAGGTACCGGGATTTCTTTGACTACTGGGTATGGCTGGGGTACTGGTACCGCGTAGGGTACGTGCACCGTTTTGTGTACTGCGACGGGTACCGGGTGTGGTACTTCTACTGGGTAAGGTGCGTCTACTTTGACTTCTACTGGTACTTTGACTATTTTTTCGACTGGTACTGGTTTGTGGATGGCTACTGGAACTTTGTGTTGGACTTTGACTGGGTATGGCACTTCCTTTTCTACTGGGTAGGGTTGTGGTACCTCGACTTTGACTGGGACGGGTACTTCTTTGTAGACTGGGTAGTGTACGATTTTTTCTACTGGTACTGGTACTTTGACTTCTTTGACGATTGTTATTACTTTTTCTTTGTGTTCACCGTGGTCTTCTTCGGCTGCCCATTTCTGGTTTTCTTCAGGCTTCCACTCATCTCCTGACCATTTTTCTTCAATGTTGAGATGTTCATTGTCTTGCAATGTTTCTTCGGATTTCCATTTTTCCTCATCAGTCCACCCTTGTAGGCCTTCTACCTTCAGGTTTTCATCAATTTCATCAGGGATTTTGATTTCTTCTATGTTTTCCTTTGATAAACTATCAATTTCGGATGTACCTTCTAGTTCTACATGAGAAAGACTTCTTTTTGCAGTTTTTGGTGCTACTGTCGTTGTTTTTTTGGTATCTTTGATTGCGGCTTCTGCTCCAACGAGGCTGAGGAAGGCCCCAATGAGTAAAATCTGGAATTGAAATTTTTTTAGAATACAGTGGGTTTCAAAAATGTAGCAACATATAGGGAGAAATCCTGAGGAAATTTGATTTCTGGATATGAACTGGGCGTCAATTGAAACGTTAATAGTGAAATCGGGCATCAAGTTTGACTTCTCGTAATTTCTAAAATATTGAACGAATTTTGAATTGCCGCCCAGATTCTGAATGCCTTTTTCATCGTCTTTCGAACCGTTCCTTACAGCTTCTTCTAAATTGATCAGGACCCGTGATACAGGGTGAAACAAAGTTTCGTGCATTTTGAAATCAATTTCTCCGCCCCCTCATTCTGTCAGAAGACCACAATGCTAATATTTTATTCGGGCATTTCATAAATAGCAACCATACCTCGGGACGTTTTCGAGTTTCTGCCAAAAACTACTGTGGTTTCCGTTTTTTGCATTTTTTTTAAATGGACTAATTTTAGAGAAGTTCCATAAATGGATGCTTTTATGCATTTCAGGAAATCGTTGGAGCAGATATGTATACCAGGTTACTCAAAAACAATCAATAATTTATTACTTCGCAGTCTATGATGAAAGTTTTCTACCTTAGTGAGCAGTAAATCAACACATCTCATCAACAAATACAAACAAGGATACCTTGTTTTTATAACAGCGTATTGTTGAAACAATGTAGGTATGCATAGAGGTTATATCAATTGCCAATTTTCATGAAAACGTCAGTGTAATTCGGGTCCTAAAAAATTTAAAGATGCCCCGTTCAAATCGGGTCGAAATGGAAAATATCATTAGGTAAGATCACTATAGTGATATAAACTATAATTCAGTACAGATAATTATTATTTCAGGTTACGACGATTAGGATATACCCAAACTCATTTAAGTACCATTTTCAATAAGTCAGTCATGACAATAAAGAGACTGATTCATCGTTTTGGTGATACAGGTAATTAGTCCATTAAAAAAAAATGCTAAAAATTTTTTTTTTTTCGGAAACCACAGTAGTTTTTGGCAAAAACTCGAAAATGTCCCGAGGTATGGTTGCTATTTATGAAATGCCTGAATAAAATATGAGCATCGTGGTCTTCCGACAAAATGGGGTGGCGGAGAAATTTGTTTCAAAATGTACGTAACTTTGTTTCACCCTGTATCATGGATCCTGATCAATTTAGAAGAAGCTGTAAGGAACGGTTCGAAAGACGATGAAAAAGGCATTCAGAATCTGGGCGGCAATTCAAAATTCGTTCAATATTTTAGAAATTACGAGAAGTCAAACTTAATGCCAAATTTCACTATTAACGTTTCAATTGACGCCCAGTTTAGTTGGTGTATCATCGGGAACCCATATGCAAGGCGTTAAATCAGAATAGTTGAATTTCTTCAAGAAAAAAGTGATTGGTTCTCGAGAATCTATTGCATTTTCTGAATTTCATCGACTATTCTGCAATTCTAGTTATAAACTACATCATTGCACAAAAAAATGGAAATAGTTTTATGGAATGAGTGTAGGTGTATGTGATGAATTGTACTTGAAATTATAAAAGGAGGTTCTACAACAAATTGGCATTTTCAATTATACAGCGTGTCTCATTTTGAACGGCCCCCCTCTATATCTCAGCTATTAGTGTGATTCTTTGCCAGTATGAATAACCATCAATATGATCAGTTTTTCAGAGAAGAAAATCCTTTTGGAGAGTGTCATACGTTCCTTATTTCATATTATCAAATCATGGAAATCATCCATATTTCTCAAAGTGGTCCAATTGATTTTTAGAAGAAAATGCAATAACCGTCCCAAAGCCTGTAGACCACGAAAAAATTGGTTAATAAGTAGTGTAACTAGTTTCGGCCACAGACACAAAAATTGATGTAATAAAGTAGGTACCTCAGTGCTACATATCAGAAGCAAACATTTTTAACATTATCAAAAGCCAAGGTCGAAAAACAAATTATCAGTCCTGAATGTAAAAAGTATTAGTTTCAAATCTGGAAAAGGTCCAGTAGAACCAGATCAACATGATATTAATGAACAGATACATCTATAATTGAAAAGTTTCAGAAAATTCACTCACATGAGATTCATCAGATTATGCAAATTGCAAAATGTATTCAATTTTTCAATTCTCTTCCTTGAAAAAATGATGAGCTCAGATAAACTTCAAATTTTGGAACGTTCAATAGGTATGTAGAAAATTATGATTCGAGAAAAGAAACAAAATATACTTTTTTGTTGAACTAACCGTTTCCGAGGAAATGATTATTTACGTTTACACAACTGTTGTTTATATGCGCCTGTTTTTCTGAAACCCTTCATAGGAATCATATGAACATTCACATATAGGGGTTCCGAACCACGAAGAACAATAAAATGATATCAGTTTTTCGATAAATAATTAAAAATTGCTAATATGATTTCACGAAAAATGGTTCCCTTTTCATCTCGATAAAAACGCACGGCATTGTTCAAAATGATGTTCGTTTCTGAAAGAATGATCATATTGATCGCACGATTATAATAGCTGGCAGGCCTTCGAAGTGAGACACGCTGTATATGATTAGACGTCTTCAAGACAATTTCTGATGAGTTCAAATTTGGAATTTCCATTTGGAAATGCCTTCTTTGCGAAGTTATGATGGATTATTTCATTCACACCTGGCTGCACCAATGAAATTGCATGATTGAAGTCACATGATATGCGATATCAGCGGCTATTTAGGTAGACAAATATAATATGAACGGCTATTCTGTTCGACAGCATGAGATTGTCAAAGTTTGATACTGGTAAGTTTGACATTATATATCAGTCACTTAGAAATTGAAATGTCTCGTTTTGGAGCTACTTCCATCACTACTGAAATCAGCAGTGATTATGTAAGCGAATCAATATCAGAAAATACCAAGAAGAGTAAAGAGACTGTCTGGAAAAATTTTTAGTTTTTTGACAGCAGAAAAACTATGAAGTTTGTGCGACTCTAAGCCTGCAATATTTTCCTCAAATAAGAACGTGAAGTTCAGAAGCACTAACTTTAGATGAATTGTATTCTTATACTGTTCATGAAATAATCTGCCTGAATACCACTCGACCATGACAAGTAGAGACTATTATTTTCTTTAATTCATCTCGAGTACCTCTCTCATTTTGAGACAATTCGATTCGACTATCTGAACATTATTAATCATAAAATAACTAAATAAAAAATACGGAATTGAAAGGTAATTGAGTGATGATTCTGTTATCGAAATAAAATAAAATATAGTTCATTCGCCTATTGATCCAATTCCAAAAAATTGTATATTTTCTTGTATTATTTGAGAATGTGTAATTTTTGAATTTCCGTAATTTATTAGAGAGTTTTCAGGCACATATGATGAAAAATGGAGGCATGATTGAGTTGAGCAGTTCTCTAGCATAGTGAGTTCAACAGAGTGATTTCATTTCCATATAGAGGGTGTTTCAGGAAATTTTGATATGCGATAAATACTCGCAAAAATGAGAATGAAAATTCACATAAACTCGTATATTTAGGATCTTAGTTTTCGAGTTACTTACAGGGCTTTGACGTTACAAATATTATTTACGATTACCTATTATCACCTTGTATAAGCTGTTATAATGTGAAAATTCAGTGATCTCAATGGATGTCTTGGATGAACCTACGTATAAGTAGAACTTTCAGTCCTCATTGTTTTACTTGAAAACTAAGCAAGGTACGAAAAAACTCATACAACAAGGAAATTCTAATTTCTTTTGTTGAATCAAATTGAAACATGAAATTAGGAACGAAATGATTGGAGCACAATGCATTTCACCAAAAAATATCAATCAGATAACCCTCTAGGACGCCACTGGAATTATACGGTGAATCGCGTTACGCACAAAAGATACTTTTTCATATCACAAATAACTCTGCTAAGTTTAACGAAAATCAGCCTAGGATTTTTTGAGCTGTGAATGAAAAACAATTTTTTTTCAAGAAAGTTTTCTTCTCAACTTCATGAATTCCATGGCATATTTGGTGTCCCGATTAAAACCAACATATATGCCACAGTTTTGATGTATAAAAATTTTGGGACAACCGGTATATCGGAATTCACTAAAATTCACACCGACACAGAGATGAAAAGTGATCATTCATCAGTTAACATATCGTCTAAGGACACTGAAATAACACTCAATTTCGAAATATAGGAGTAACGTGAGAGAAAATCAATATATACCAGAATGGCTTTCGAATTCCCTTCCAAATGAATAATATCAAAATCATAGGAATGGAAGATAACAACAAAAAGAATAAAATCAAGGAATCCGCTTGCATCCTTCTGAACGCAGATAATAGCATTGCTTCCTGTTCAGTTGATATAGATAGAACATGGTTTTCTTCAAATGAAAATTGAACATAAAAATGGTAGATTCAAGAACAATTAATGAAAACATCCTGTAACTCATTTGTAGACTGAAATCACTCATTCATATGCCAACATCAGTATGACACTGAAAACTGTCAAACTATAAGCGGCACAACTTCCAAAGAGAAATATTTTGCACTTTCATGTTGAGAACGGGAGCAGGTTTGGTCCCGAAACGTCCAAAGATAAGTAAAGATTCGATACTTTCTCAATATATCTATATTTCTTTCCTTCAAACATTTTTTCAAACAAATTGTCACTGACAAGCTACTGGATTTTTCTTTTAGGCTCCCTGTTAAAAAAATGTGTTAAACGCAGTGACATTCTGGGGTAAATCAACTGATTTGTCCCACTACTAATATATTGAAATATTACGAATATTTTTATTTTATAGAAACGAGGAGAGAAAATCCCAAAAAATCAAGTAAAATGTTAGAAATATTATTTACATTCAGCTGTTATCACTCTGTATAAGCTTTTATGATGTGGAAATTCAGTGACCTCAATGGATATGTCTCGGATGAAGCTTCGTATAGAACTTTGATTCATTTGAGTCCTCATTTTTGTACTTGAAAATTGAGCAAGATACGAAAAAACTCATATAACAAGAAAACTCGAATTTCTATTGTTGAATCAAATCGAAACACATGAAATTAGAAACGGAATGATTGGAGCACAATGCATTTTACCAAAAAATATCAATCAGATAACCCTCTAGGACGCCACTGGAATTATACGGTGAATCTAGTTACGCCAAAAGATACTTTTTCATATCACAAAACAACTCGGCTGAGTTTAACGAAAATCAGCCTAGGATTTTTTGAGCTGTGAATGAAAAACAATTTTTTTCAAGAAAGTTTTCTTCTCAACTTCATGAATTCCATGGCATATTTGGTGTCCCGATTAAAACCAACATATGCCACAATTTTGATGTCTTAAAATTTTGGGACAACCGGTATATCGGAATTCACTAAAATTCACACCAACACAGAGATAAAAAGTGATCACTTATCAGTTGCCACATCGTCTAAAGACACTGAAATAACACTCAATTTCGAAATATAGGTACTATGTGCACTTACGTAGCCTCTCATGTCATGCAAAAACTTATCTAGGAAACTGGAGTAACGTGAGAGAAAATCAATATATACCAGAATGGCTTTCGAATTCCCTTCCAAATGAAATATATATCCATAATTCACATGAAATTATGAAATTATAATAATTCAATTTGAATATCTAGGATATAAATGAATGCAGGAATTAAAAACCCACTCGTTGGTCTCAATCACCGTACTTAGATAAATAATTTACTCTAATAAAGACAATAAATGAATATTTTCAAATACGGTACAGATTTATCTAGGAACAAGAATACTAATTTTTCGAGATTTCATCTTCACTTGTATGAAAATATCTGAGTATTATTTCAATATACAGGGTGTTTCAGGTTTTGACGTCATTCCAATTAAAAAAGTTTATATTCACATGAGTCCGATCTCTATCAGTAGCGGATCTAGAGGGGGATAAGAAGTTCAATTATTTTTTTTCTATTCATTAAAATATCTTGGTCACTTTTGAAGATATCAATTTGAAATTTGATGTGGTTAATACTTCCTAGGAATTAATCATTTCAATCTGGAGATTTTTTGACTCTACAGGATGATACATTTTTGGAGATATATAATAATAATAATGATAAATACGTTTATTATATACCCAAAATTGAATATACAAATGAATTGATGATTCGAACGGTATACATTTTGAGAAGGTAGATAAAAGGCTTCTGAGCCTGTTCTTCCACCAAAGCCATTTTAAGTTTTTTTCAATTGTTGAATGGTTACCAAACTACAATAAATATGTTCAACTCTATAATTGAAGAAAAGAGAGGAGATGTCAAGAGAGAGAAGAGAAAGAGAGAGAGAGAAAGAGAGAGAGAGAAGAGAGAGAGAGAGAGAGAGAGAGAGAGAGAGAGAGAGAGAGAGAGAGAGAGAGAGAGAAGTGATGAAAAAGATCGAATGTCATAAAGGCAGTAGAATGTATGAGTGCAGCTAAGGTTGATTATTCTCGATTATTCTGCTTATCAAATAAATAGCATTTGAATTTGTTCTTGAAGGCATTCGGATTCATATCAAAACGGAAAAAGGTAAGTTTTATCAGATCATTCACGACGATAGCGATGTTATATGCTTCTGACATTTTTCAGTCATCAAACACGGTGAATCTTTCAATCAAGAGGCTTTTCTTGTTCATAATTTTTTTCCAAGAAATGAACCGTTTTCTATATAAATGAAGCATGTTTTTTTCCTTCTAATAATAAGTGCTTGGTCGTTTCTACCCCTTTACCGCATTGTCTGCAGAGAAGTTCTTCATTGTACAGTCCCATTTTATTCAGGTGTCCTCTCGTTGGACTGTGACCAGTGAGAAGTCCCGTTATTGTTTTGACTTGGTTCCTACTCATCTCGAGTAGTTCTTCAGTCTCCTGTGCTCTCCATCTAAGATAACTGAGCGAGTGATTAAACAGAGGTTACAGAAATTTATCGACGACAACGAGCTAATACCAGATGAGCAGTTCGGTTTCAGAACTGGCCACTCAACTGAACTACAAGTCTTGAGACTCATTGAGAACACAATATCGCTGAGAAATGATAGACAAAAGACCCATCTTGCTCTCCTTGACATAGCGAAATCATTTGACAAGGTGTGGCATGATGGTATCTTATACAAAATGATCGATATGGGCTTTCCTGACGATCTGATTCAGTTGATGTGTTCATTTCTGAAAAATCGAACTTTTCAAGTAAAACTTGATGATCAACGATCTGGTATCAAGCCCATTGAAGCTGGTATTCCTCAGGGTGCAGTTTTATCGCCGCTGTTGTACAGTTTATATACTAGCGATTTGCCAAGACCAGTGATGTGCAAGATGTCGCTTTTTGCATATATATACAATGAACCAGTCATTGTACCAGTATATCCCTGACGAAGCTATACTGTGTTAGCGAAACATGTCGGGTGTTTGAGAATTTTGTGGAAATCTTATCGTTTGTGAAGTTTTTACACATGTAAATGTTATCTATATTTTTCTCTAAAATTGTATTCTTGGACAAAATTAGTCAGCAATAATCGGAAATGCAGAAGAAATAATCACTTTTCGCAAGACGATTCTTTCCGACAAGTTGAATGCCATTTTATTTTTGAATTTTTTCAATTTCATTGAGGAATATGGATACAACTGAATGGTACTCAACCAGTGGCATAACACGAATTTTCCGCGTCGTTGTTGGAGTGGTCCGTTAAAAGCCAACTGACCTTCTGATTCAGATTGGAATTTGGTATATTTGGCAAAATTAACATGTTATTGAAGGGGTATGCTCGTTTATCTTGAAAACACTGTGTCTCTAGAAAAAAATTTAGATGCAGATAAAATCTTCAAATTGAACGATCCACTCTATTTAGTAACTGGAAGATGCCAGAAACGTGATACAAAACAGTTTGGGGGTAAGTGAAAAAGCCTCTACCCTCAAAAACGTATCACCTTGTAGATTCTAAAAATCTCTGAAGTGCTTCATGTGCTGATCTTTTAAAAATATTGACCATACTAGATTTCAAATTGATATCCTCAGAAGTGAGCGAGATATTTCAAATAATAGAAAAATAGTTATTTATTATACAGGGGAAAAAAGTAGTAGATTTAAGCTACAGGTTTTGTTGTCAAAAAACCGTGAGCTAAAATCTGATATTCTTCCCGTGTATGATACAATATTTTTTTCTGTGTCTAATTCTGTGATTTGATTTCAAAAAATTGCGAATTTAGTGGTTGTTTAGTAATATACGAAACCGCGAAGTCGAATGAAAGATAAAAGGACTTCTTTCTCGGAGACGGTATTATTGACTCATTTTTCAGAACTACAGCACAACAAAAGCCACCAACAGTTTATATAGATGTGATATATATCCGGGAAGAAAGTACCCACTTTCTTCCCACGGGAAAAAAGTAATTTATGAAAAGTGACATTTCCTATCCTGTCAACAGAGATGAAATGGCAAAATTTTTTCCCGCCACAGAAAAAAATAATTTAACTTTGACCCCTTGTATCTCCGCAACTGACACATATTTTCACACACTTTTCTGATCAAAATGATGAGATCTATCACCCGTTTCAATTTGTACCTAAAAACCTGAATCACCCTGTATATTGAGTGTGATAAGGAAAAATCAGAAGATTTCTTTGTTTCACCTCTATGATACAATTCTTCGATGATTGATTTTCATTTTTCGTTTTTTTCTCCTGGGGAAAAATTGATATTACTCAATACTTCAGTCTCGAACACAATTTTCACTAAAATCTCTTCACCAACATTTTTTTTTATATAAAAAAAGGCCAGGATTGTATATATTTTTGAATGCCAATGAACAATTTAGTCAAATTTTCAACTGGAATATAGTGAAATCTCCAATATTCTAGGGATACTGAGGTTCCTTAGTTTTGAGTAATTTCAGGACATGATTTCTTTCATATACAAACATGTGCACTAACTTTCTTAGTTCTTAATAACTACGTATAATGGAGTTGAGAAAAGATTGAAAAACAATAGAATTAAATTCAATGTACCCGAGAACGATGAGTACAATTATTGATGTTAAAAATTGAATTATCCACGACGATATCTAAAGATTGCCAATTGAAAAAAATTGTGGTATATTCTACCAAAATACGTCAATCTGAAAACTCAAAACTATATTATATTACTTTCTTATTCAATAAAAATATGAACATTATTAAATTAATCGATAATTCTGCACTTATGCAACAGTGGATTGGAGAATTGCCAATACAAATGACAAGATTAACTGAGTACAGTATATAAGCGCGAGTATAATTTATTTCGCAAATAGTTATTGTAAAATTAATATTGTCCTAATTCCATTGAATTTATTTTCATTTAGAAGGTAAAAGTAGCAATGTGCGTCTATCCATTTTCATATTGTATTTAATAATGGTGATTATGTCAATGTATAAGTAAATAGACTACAATATTATGAAGTTAGAAAAAGATTAATTATCTGAAAGAAACATGGGGTATTTCCAAATTACATGTTCATGTTTGTTAAAAAAAATCATGATTTTCACTGTTTTGTTCTTCGACAATTCATGGTGCCATATTTCATTTTGAGGGAATTACTTTGAGTTTCTATCTTCTTTTCTTTCTTATGGATGGCACGAAAGGCAATTCGTATCTTGTTCGTGGAAAATCTTGCGAATCTACAAGGTGTATATCATATGTGAAACACACTTCCAGCGGTAATTAAACGTTTCAACGTGTCCAAATATTTTTCGATTCTGAGTTACAGAGTGTTGAAATTCCAAGATTTGTTTTTATAAATGAACCATAAATTGATGCATCTTGTTGGAGCGTGTGAACCTCAGATATACAGGGTGTCCCAAAATTGTATTTACAGAACTTACCACATATTCCTCAGACCAAAACCTTCTTTGTAGTGAACTAGTTACGCAATCCAAATTTCATATTCTAACTCCTTTCTTTCCATCGACGTAGAAGTTTCAGATGTTTATTTGCTGAAAAAATCAAGTTCCACGCCCATGGAATGATATTCATCATAATCATGATATGGGTTTCATTGCCCAAATATTCCAAATTTGAGCAAAATCTCATGAAGGAGTTATAAGGAAAAACAGAAAAATCTTTCTGGTCAAACCTGTTATAGAAACTTTCATAATTTTTTTGAGACGATCTGTCACCTCTAAAAGTGCGTCCCACATATTTGGAAACAACCTGTATGTACAACCTTCCACTTGGAGTTCAGATGAACCAAAAATTATACCTAGTATAATTATCCTAACAATACCTCTACCTCCTCTCCCTATCCTCCCTATTATTATAGGAATTCCCTTTTGTGCGCTCCAAGCGTTAAAAAAAAGTTTCACGAAGTATCACAGAGAAAATATCGTTCGTTCCACAGAACTCACGTGGTTCGTTCTATGATCAACAATGAATGATCAAAAAAGCTAAAGAAAGAAGAGAACTCGAAATAGCCATCTTTTGATATAATAAGAAATCAATTTAG